ACCTCTTGTGGAAGAAGTAAATTTAAACTCAAATCTCTGAAGATCTATAGCTAGGTAGATTCACAAATTTATATCATTTAAGGGGGACAATTGATAGAAAGACTCAAATCTCTAGTTCTAGCAGAGACTTCAAATAATTACAAAAGTCATAATTACCACAAAAACCAGTTTGTAACCATGGCTAACTGAATACTAGGCAGCTGACTATCAGTCAAAGGAAAGCAAGGGGGGTCATTTCTGTGTCACATAAAGAGAAGCGTGCTGGTTGATGCCACTTTCTCTTTACTGCCTGCTGTTGGGTGCTCTGCAGAAGTGGCCGGAGGAGGAGGGCAGGTAAGATGTGACTCCAGCTCTTGGATAACAAACACAGTGACAACCGGAAGCTCAGACTGGCAGTACCTGGTTGTCTCACCACCAAATTACCAAGGGTTGGGTAACCTTTTCCGTGCTCAAATGACTAAACGAAACCTGCTCAGTGATGGTTGCCAGTCCTTTCCAAAGTGGTATGTGGACTTTGGAGTAATTCTGAGCTCTGATTATATAACTTAGTTGTCTGGTCTAGGGTAAGGTCCTTACCTTTCTCATCTGTAAACTGACCATTATACTAGTTCCCACTGAACAGGATGGTTAACTCAGTTAATATTTGTGAAGTACTTGGAACACTGGCTGCTCCACAGAAACTCTTTCATGGAGAGTCTTAAAATAAAAATAGTACACCTTCCTCATACAGCACCAAAATATTCAGAAAAATCATCTTAGATTTATGCCAAAATCTTAGTCTTCTCCTTAGGCAAGGAGTCAGACAACCAATTTTTTTTTAGTAATTGAAATATTTCACTTGCTTCAATAAAAGTATTGATTAAATATTTAAGTGTATATATAAATATTATCTATTTAAGTAAAATATGTAAATATATAAATCACATATACTATACAATGTTTATTATCTATTTCATTTAACATGCTAATGGACAGGGTTTTACTTTTAAGCATGATCAATTTCAAGATCAGATTAAAGAAGTGTTTACTTTGTATATCTATATATATGAAAATAAAGTTTTTTGTGTAGTCCATAACATTTCTATCCTATGATTATTGATGATGATTGATTATTTTCCATATGTCATCTGTACTGAATTATTTATAATTAATAAAACTCTTATTTTAGAAAGTTGGTTGTGCAAGTAGAGCCATTGATCAAACAACCTATACATAAAAAAATGTATGATGTGGTCTTACCTTGAAGTAATCATACTTGTGGTCTTCAAATATTGTTTTCTTTTACATTTTTGTTTTTGAAATAAGATGTAGTTTCTGTATTCATAAAATATTGTAAGAGGATAATTTATCATTAAACATAGGGTGTAGGGACTCTTATAATTTACATTAGAACTTTTTCGGTATGTCTTGCACATGTGAACTTCAAAATGCTTTCCTCTCATTTGCAATTAGGAGCACTTCCGAGCGACAGCTCTAGTTTCCCTCCTCTGTGTGTGAGGGTCATGTCTCTGCTGATGAAACTACTGGTTGGTAGTGGGAAATCTACATTTAAAGCATCACAGGGTATTTTTATTTGTGTTTTTTAATATTATATTTGAAATTAGGCTATGCCTAGAAGGAGAAAATACATAATCATAATCTAATAGTTAATTGAACAACAAAAATATCAAACCAGTGATTATTTTACTCAAAACTGCACCAAAAAACTAGTTTAAATGATTATCTGTTTCACTCATTAAAGTTATCACATATTTTACTGATTTTCCTATGGCTGAATGTCAGAGCTGAAGAAGTGAAAAGCACTGAAGAACTGTTCTCATGCTGGTGCTGAATGAAACCAAATAGCCTGATGGTATGACCTCTTTCTCAGGGGCTGGAGGAAGTATATGGCTATCTTATTCTCACTTTTAATCAAATGTTACATTTAGGTTCTTCTGGAGTGGAAGCCATGTGTGATTCATCTATATCCCCAGGGTATATATCATATGTTATGTATAAATAAAAGTATATAAACTCAAATGGGGCAAATTGAGAGGCTACACATGCAGCTCACTATAGAAGGTTCTAAACAACACATGTTTAAGTCATGATCATGCTATTTGACATATAGGTACATGGTACTGAATATCTTTTTTTTAAGTACAGAGCTTGTTTAATACCAACAAAATGTTGTATGCTACAACAAAGGTTCAGATGCATTTCTAAAATGTAAAGAGAAATATTAAAATGTCATTTCCCTTTAGCTCTTCATGTTAAGCTAGCCATGCTTATTTTTCCATTTGCATTTAAAAATCTCATTTGCTGGGTTATATTTACTGGCTATCTTTTTTTAACAGAAATTTTTAAAAGATTTTATTTATTTATTTTTAGAGAGAGGGGAAGGGAAGGAGAAAGAGAGGAAAAGAAACATCCATGTGTGGTTGCCTCTTGTGAGCCCCCTACTGGGGACCTGGCCCACAACTCAGGAGTGTACCCTGACTGGGAATTGAACTAGTGACCCTTTGGTTTGCAGGCCAGCACTCAATCCACTGAACCACACAAGCCAGGGCTGGCTATCTTTTTTTTTTAATAGTGGAAAGTAATAATCACTTTAGGAAAGTAATATTTTCTTATGTGAGGATGCCTATTCTACCCTCAAAATATTTGTAGTGATTGTTTTTCTATCTCCTCCAATAAAAAAGTGCTTCTTGGGAATTAATATAACCTTCAACTTGGGTCAACATTCCTTTCCTTAAAATGTACACACACAAAACAAAGGTGCACAGTGAGTGTCCTATTTCTTATGCTGGCATTACTTTCATAAGCTGAAAATGATTCTCCAGCTATCAAAACAGTCTAACATGGATTAGAACTTCAGTTAAAATCAAAGCTCTCAAATGGCACATCTGGGGGACTACCTATAAACTGACCTAACAGTACAGATGGAGTATCAGTGGTGGGTCATGCATACACATCGCACATATACAGGTTTAGCCAGATACAGGGATAAAATGTTTATGCCTGTATTAGTCATTTGTGGCTAAAAACCAATGCTAAACTTCTGTTTATAAGGAAGACATAGGATAAGTCTCTTTTATTATAAAAATAAAATAGCTTCTTCATTGTCAGGGAATTGTGAAAAAATTAGTATTTTCAATAATTGTAAAACTATTGAAATAATCCAGGATAAAATAGATAAGGACCTAAATGACTATAACAGTATTGAGATTGGAGAGAAGTGGCAGTTCTGAGATAGTTAGAAGACAGAATCAACAGGTCTTACTGGTCCATTGGATGTAGGAAAAAGGGAGGAATCATATGATGACCAAGTTTCATGTTCGACTGCATGGGTACATAGTGATACTGTTTTTTGAGATCAGGAGCACAGGAAGAGAAGCAGATTTGGAGTTTGGAAGGAAGGAGAAGACTGAGAAGATGAGTGTAGTTCAGGGTATGTTGGAGGTGTGCATGGGACATCTAAAGGAGGATATCAAGTAAGTAGGATGTCATTGATATGGTGAGCAGCTAGACTGGGAGTAGAGATTTCACAAAATTAGAACACAGGTAGTAACTGAAGCCATGAGTGTATACAAGGTAATAATGTGTATACAGAAAATAATGTAAAGAGGGAAAAGCATTGGGAATGGTTCTCCATATCATTATATTGGTCACTAAGAGGTATTGCCTTATTAAAAGACTGAACTATTGAAAATATGTGCTAGGATAGCATGAAGTGATATTTAACATAAAGCTAGCAAAGCTGTAAATAAATTTTGCTTTCTAACTCCTTCAACATCCTTTTGTTACACAGTGTGGTTTCCTCAGGTTACCACATACATTTACTCCCTGGGCTGTCGAGGCCAGTTGGTTTCACTTTACACCACACAAACAAGCATGTGGCATGAGGTTAAGTCCTCCTAACCACTCTTCTTGTTATTTACATGTGTTTTAGAAACCAGTGACCCGCACAACCAAGGAATTCAATTAGAATCACTCACATCTTCTAATTTGTTATACATAAAACTACTGTGGGAATGATTGATAATCATATATGTTTCACAACTGCCCATATTTCAACTTCCTCTGTAAACTTTGGTGATCAAGACCTTTAAGAAAGAGATTTCAAGACCTCAGTAATCACAGGCTCCTTGTCTCTGTTCTTTGTTTGGTTCTATCAGTTGCAAAAGACATTCTGCAAACTTTAAACTCTCCATTAAACTTTACCAAAGAAGCAGGATTCCATGTATGAATTATGAAGTAAATGTTAAACTAAACCAATATATCATAAACAAAACAATCCCAGGCCGTATCTGTCATTATAAATAATTCTTAGATTATTTTCTGAAACCATTAGAATTATAATAGCTGCTATGAGATTTGTCCATTTTCTTTTGGTAAAATCTTTTAATATTTAAAACTTCTGAGCTGTCTCATAATATCTAAATCACTATCCCCTCCTATCCCTTGCCATTAAAGCCAGGGTTCCAGTTACTATTTTTTTTTGTAAGTTACCTCTTAAGCCTCATGGTTTTATGAAAATGCCTAACCCACTATCAACTTCACACACATAGAATTAATCTTCATTTATGTTTTCATATATTCTAAAGTTTCCCATTAGAAAGCATTCCTCTTCCTCACATATAATATTATTAAGTTCTATATATCCATTATAAAGTCAAATTGCCTCTGAAGAAAGATGATGATGAAAATATAATGTTCACTCTGATGTCATGAATCTAACAGACTTCCATAATCCTTGGTGCCTTAAGGTATTTTTGCTTACTCTGCATCTAAAAAGACACCAAAATGATATGTACTACCAGAGTATTTAAGGCAGGAACTGACTCTGAAAGCCTTAGTTTACTGTAGAGTTAAGACATTATGTAAGGTTGGATCCTTTTGAAGTGTTTTACTACAAGTGTTCCCAATAAAGTATAAAGCGAGATGGAAAATTTCAGGAACTATCATTTTTTAAAAATAGAGTGTTTTAGACTTAGAAAAAATGATAGGGAAACTAATACCTTGGTTTGATCCAAAATGAATTCAAATTGCTCCTTCATGATCAAGTGAATTAAATTTGCCTAGAATAAAAACAGAGAAAAGTACATTACCTTTCCTCTATATATTCCAACTGGTTTGATTTTTCTTCATTAGTAGTACCTTTCTGCGAAGGATGATGTGTGACGGGTGAACAACTCAACATCTAGAAAAGTATCTGGTCTATAACAGGCAATAATCAGCATTTGCAGGTAAAGGTGCTAGATATTCAGATTGATGGATATTGATGGTATTCATTAAGGAAGAGAATAAGTAGTATGTAGACTTGTTAGAGTATAGCTCTGGCACAATCAACTACGGGTTTAGCTCTCAAATCCATCACTTACTAGCTGTATGAATTGGGCAAATTATTTAGCTTTCCTGAACTTTGGTTCTTTCTATAAGAGAATGGTAATACCTGTCTTTGGAAATTACATGAAGATTAAATGACAAAATGTATATAAAGCATTTACTGTGGTTCACAGTAAAGCTCTTAAAAATGACAACAAAAACAAAATAAACTTAAACCAATATTTCTGAAAGAAATATGGTTTATTTCCCACTATTTGTTTAAAAAGAAATGACTTCTAGTGCAAACTAGTCAACTGAATATCCATGTTTATCTCACTTTCTCCCATGGCTGTATTTCAATGAGTAAATCTAGGCTAAAAACAAAACCTCAAGAGAATTAGAAAACAAGCCACAGACTAGAATATTTGCAAAAGACATATCCGATAAAGAACTGTTATCCAAAACATACAAAGAACTCTTAAACTCAACAAGAAGAAAATGAGAAACCCAGTTAAAAAATAAGTATAAGCCCAAACAAGCCACTTCATCTGAAGAAATACAGTGGTAAGTAAACATATGAGAAGACGTTTAACATCACATGTCATTAGGGAATTTCAAATTATAACAACAATGAGATATCACTGCATACCTATTAAAATGCCAAAATTCATAACACTGAACCACTAAATGCTGGCAAGGATGCAGAGCAATGAAAACTCTCATTCATCACTGGTGGGAATGCAAAATGATACAGCCACTTTAGAAGGCAGTTTGGCCATTTCTTACAAAACAGAACACAATATTACCATATGATCCAGCAATTGCGTTCCTTGGTATTTATCCAAATGAATGGAAAACATAAGTTTCCATGTCCACACCAAAACCTACATATAGATGTTTAAAGAAGCTTTATTCATAATTGCTAAAACCTGGAAGCAACCAAGATGCCCTTCAGTAGATAAGGAGACAAATAAACTGGGCTTCACTGAGACAAAACAGTATTACTCAATATTAAAAATAAATGAGCTGTCAAGCCATGAAGAGACATGAAGGAAACTTAAATGCATATGAAGTGAAAGAAGCCATTCTGTAAAGGCAAAATAATAAAAACTTTGGTAATTGCCAAGAGTTAAGAGGGTTGGAGGGATGAGTAGGCAGAGCACAGAGAATTTCTAAGGCAGTGACACTATTCTGTTTGACATTACAGTAGTAGATACATGTCATTATAAATTGTCAAAACCCAGAAAAATGCACAACACCAAGGGTGAACCCTAATATAAACAATGGGCTTTAGGTGATAATGATGAATAAATGCAGGTTTATCAACTATAACAGATGAACCACTATGGTAAGTGATCTCGATAGAGTGGGGCACGTATAGGGGCAGCAAGTACATGGGAACTCTCTGTACTTTCCCGTCAATTTTTGCTGTGAACCTAAAACTGCTCTAGACAATAAATTCTGTTAATTAAAAGAGGAAAACAACCCACACAAATATTTTCTTACATTTAATTAATATTGTACAGTTGCCTATAATGCAACTGTTATTTAAAAAAAAAACTGGAGCAAAAGAAAATCTTGTTTACACAATAGAATTCTATGCAGCAGAAAGAAGGAGCTCCTACCCTTTGCAACAGCATGGATGCAACCGGAAAGCATTATGCTAAACAAAATAAGCTAGGCAGGGAAAGACAAATACCATATAATCTCACCTTTAACAGGAACCTAAACAACAAAACAAATAAGCAAAATATAACCAAAGACACTGAAATAGAGAACAGACTGACAGAGTTCAGAGGGAAGAGGAGAGGGAATTTCAGGGAAAATTCAGGGGAAAAGGGGAAGGGTTTATAGGAACAAGTAAAGGACACATGGATAAAAACTAGGGGTGGGTAGAAATGGGAGGGTGGAGGGGAGGGCTGGGATGGGAGTAAAAGATAGAAAATTGTACTACAACAACAATTAAAATAAAATTAAAGAAAGAAAAAGTCTTGGTTATTAACATACATTGTTTGCTATTTTAACTCTGTCAAATAGTCAATCTGTTATTATATTATAACATTAAGGGAATCACTTCCAAATGCAGGACATTCTATAATTATTGGTTTCTGAAAGAGAATCTTCATTGTTATCTAAATATTTCACAACATCCCTTTTTCTCTTAGGGTAAAGTATTTCTGAATTCCCTCTTGTGTTTTGAGGTAGCACACCATCAAATGTACACAGCTAAGTGATATATTCTTCTATACCTTATAAAAGTACTAGATATTAAATTTTTAGCAGCCCATGTCCCCTGACGGATACAAACAGGAACCTTATAAATCAATCTATGTCAGTTAATGGTTTTCTTCTGCAAAATGCCACTTGCCTTAGATGCCTATTTAATTGTTAAGCACAAGCAAAACACCTCAGAAATAATTCAGAAGTATTAATATATCACTGCTGATCTGTAAAAATCAATTTAAAGTTTAACATTCATCATTTTTATTTCCATGGAGAAGCAATTAACCATTAAAGCAAGCTTATTTAATCCTGAGTCTATTATATTATTTGTTCTTCTCATTGCTATATCTGACCCAAGATGGAAATGAAAATATTAATATAATTTTTACCATTATCCTAAGTCTCTGGATACATATTTACCACCCCCCAAATGATAGTGGGTTTGAGTCCTGTAATTAAAATGTGGCCTCAACTACATTTAGAGGATTTTATGCTGAAGTACTATAATTGGGAAAAACGCGAGAAATTAGATGCACTTGGTTTTCATTCAACTTAACTGCTTACTAGGTGTATGACACTGTGAAATTAACTCAAGAAACTATAACATGGAGATGGATATTTATAAATTTTAAGTGAATTTATAAATATGAAGTACAAATGTTTTGTTTTCTCCATGACTTCTCAGTTTCTTTATACTCATTTATCACATTGAGAACAACTGTTACTTGTAGAACTGATCATTCAATGAAAGAATATATGCCAAAAATCACTGGAATGTACTAGATGCTTGAAAAATGTCAAATTCCACTGAAAAAAAATGTGGCCTCAAGAAAATTTCCATAGCGCTGTCATGTAACAAAAATGAGACATACACACACACACACACACACACACACACACACAGAGATCTTGTATGAAAATAAGATAAAGAAGAAATTTCAAAATCATTTCTGTGTTTCCCCAAGTGAAGTAAAAAGAAAAACCACGAGCAAAAATTAATATGAAATAAAATTTAAAAAAAGGAGAGAGATTCATTCTCTAAAATAATCTCAGTTTGGTTTAAAACTTTGGGAAGGTGACAATTTGCTGTGAAATTCTAGACTTCTCTAAACCAGTTTTCTAATTTTGATGAAACAGTGGAGGCAGAAGTATTGAGTATCAAGGTGGACTGTGGAGGGGCAGATATTAAAGTTCATAGATGGGGATAAGCTAAAGTGTTTCCCTTATTTTTTGGTTCCATAATATTCATAGTTGTGTTATTGTATGGTCTGAAATATGTAGGAAATAATGAATAAAATGTTTATAATCCTATCTAGATTTTTTTTTGTCTGTGATCAGACTATCTACAATGTGAGATAGCTCAAGTAATTGACTCAATGTCTGAATGAAATGTCTAAAATACATAGTAGCTATTTTCTGGCTCTTTAAGAACTTAATTTTGTTTACCTTAGGACCCTACCCTAACCCCATCTACAGTAATCCTGCTCAGTCACATAATCTGGATTGAGTACACTGACAACTGGTTTGCTTTCCCCTTTCCTGGTCTCACTTGTTGGCAGTCCTTGGGTCTACCCAAAGAGAATGCTATTTTCCCTTGGCCATGATGATTTGTTCAGCGATGAGGAGTATGACTGAATCCAACTCTTTTCAAGAGTTTTGCCAGGAATATCTGTAAAGATATTGTAGGATTTCAGAGATGTATAGTGGCCATATATAAAATTGGTAAACTTTGTGAAAGAATGTATAGGAAAGCATAAATACACAGAAAGCCATGCCATATTTCTATTATAGGTTGGAAGACTCATAATTGATTAAAATATTCTCTCCAAGTTACTATATTCATATTATTCATTTTGACTAAAATAAATAAACAGATAAAACCAGAATGTTTAGTTTGTCTGACAGGTTAAACACATGAAAATAGCTCAGGTGGAACAGATAAATTAAATATTAAGTATTAAAAAAGCTGAAAAATTATACAAAATATTAAACCAAAATTAAACTAAATGGACCAAAGATGAAAATATAAGATCTGAAACAATGAATTACAGAGAAAACATAAGTACTAAACTTATGAACCTTGGTATTTGAAAAATTTTATGAATTTGGTCTCAAAGGCAAGTGAAGTAAAAGCAAAAATAAGTGAATGAGACTATATCAAACTAAAAAGCTTCTACACAGCAAAAGAAACCACCAACAAAACAAAAGGGCATCTAGTCAAATGGGAGAAGATATTTGCAAACAACACCTCTGAAAGGGCTTAATATCCCAAATGTATAAAGAAATCATACAACAACAGAAAACAAACAATCCAATTAAAAAACCAGCAGATGACCTGACAGACACTTCTCCCAAGAAGACATACAAATAATCAAAAGATGTATGAAAAGATGCTCAACTTCAAGAAAATTCAAATAAAAAGCTATAAGGAGATATACCTCCTTTCTCCCCACCACCAACAACAACAAAAAAACAACTATAAGGAGATACCACCTCATACCTGTTAGAATAGCTATCATCAACAAGACAAGTAATAGTAAGTATTGGGGAGGTTGTGGAGAAAAAGGAACCCTCATTCACTGCTGATGGAAAGGTAAACTGGTACAGCCACTATGGAAAACTGTATGGAGGTTCCTCAAAAAATTAAGAATAGGGTTACCATATGATCTAACAACCCTTCTTCTGGCTATCCACCCCAAAAATATGAAAACATCTATTTGTAAAGATAAACATCCCTACATTTATTGTAGCATTATTCATGGTGGCCAAGACATGGAAATAACCAAAGTGTTCTTCAATAGATGATTGGACAAAGAAGATATGGTACATCTACACAATGGAATATGACTCAGCCATAAGAAAAGATGAAATACTGCCATTTTCAACAACATGGATGGATCTTGAGAATCCCATTTATGTTAAGAAAAATTAGGTCAACTGGGAAAAGTCAAGAACTGTATGATTTCACTAATATGTGGGATATAAAACTGAAAGCAACAAACGAACAAACAAACAAATAAAAACTCACAGACATAGACAATAGTGTGGTGGCTACCAGAGGGAAATGGGGTTGAGGGGAAGGTCATAAAGAGTAGAAGAGGCATAAGTGGTGATGAGAGAAAATTTGACTTTGAATAGGAAACACACAATTCAATGTACAGTTGATGTCGTATAAAGTTGTACACTTAAAACCTATAATTTTAACCAATGTCACCCAATAAATTTAATTTAAAAAAATTTAAATATTAGGAAAATCATAAGAGCAAGTATTACATAATCTTGAAGTAGAAAGCTTTCCCAGTTTGATATCCAAAGGTCTTAAAACATAAAAAAATAGAATTGACTACATATTTGTACAGAAGTTACAAAATCGAAAGACAAATAAAACTCTAAAGAGAATTTTCATAACCTAGGTAAAGAAACAGCACATTCAAACAATTCCACAAGAAGAAACAGTTGCACATGAAAAAATAATTGCAAAGAAAATCAATGGCCAATAATCATATGAAAGATGACCACCAAAAATGCAAATTAATGTAATATCATCCTTCATCCCTCAGAGTAGCAAAGATATATAAGTACTGTTAATGCCAGGTATTGATGAGAGTGTAAGGAAATGGGTTTTCTTACATGTTTGTGGTAATATAAGTTAGTTCATTATTTTGGAGGGCAATATTTATTATAATGTTGTTATAAGAGCAAAAATATTTTTAAACCATTGAAATGCCCATCAAGACAGATTTGGCTAATAAATTAAGATATAACTATAAGATAAATGCCAAATATCTACTAAAACATATAAGAGATGTATGTGATTTTATGTGAAAAGAAATTTCTAGTATAAAACATATGAGTTACAAAAAAAGCTATAAGAACAAATATCCAATTTTTTCACATATCAATTATTACTTAGTTATACCTATTGAGTGCTCACCACTTAATGCCAGACACTCAGTAAGCTACACACCAAGGGATGCATATGCAAGCACAAATGTGTGCAAGCACATACATCTATATGTGCGCACATACATCAAACTTTTATTACCCTTGTGAAATGAGAGAAGTAGAGTGCAGGGTGGAGTGGAGGGAAAGGGTCGACAGGTAATTAGTTTCAAGAAGGATGAGAGGTTCCCTTACTACAATACACAGCCCTATTTGCTTGAATTATGTTTATTGTGGACATGTATTAGCTTTATTCTCTGGGGAAAAAATCAAATATAGTTTCATTCTGAAAGAAAGAGAAATGTAAATATATGATATTTTGTTAATTCTCAGAAAAGCTACTGTTTTCAAAAGATGAACTGTAATTTTTGTGTGTGCTGCTTTCCCAAATACAGAGCCTGTACCTTCTATGTGCCATGAGTTTCACATGGAAAATTATTGATAAAAGGCAGCTCATGCTGAGTGACAAAGTCATTCTATCTGCAGGTCTTGGGAATGACAAGATTTTGTAGCTTGGATCTAGTTCCTATTATATTAAGAAATTAATGCTATAAAAGTGTGTAGCTTTTAAAAATATGTATTTTTCCATAGTATACTAATGTCAAATAATGAAAAAAGGACAATTTTAGTTTTTGCGAATTACGTAGCTCTCTGGACATTTAATATTTTCAACATAACATAGCTTTTATTCTGCTGCCTTTGGTGAAGACAAGTTTAAGTAAATTTATAAACTGTAAATTATATACAAACAAATGTATGCACATGCTGTTTGAATAGCTTTAAATACTTATTCTGATATTGATCAATTCTAAGATAATAAAAGAAAAATCATTTGTTTTACAAGAGTGCCTCCAGCAAACCATAACTTATATAATTCTCAACAGCCTAGATTAGGATATACTTGGGATCACAAACACATAATTAAAATGCTTTGTCAAATAATAAAACACCTTTGACTCCAGGGGCAGACTTATTTACCAAGATTGAAAATATGGAAAATATCAAAAAGGGATCTTCTTTTTTAATAATGGATTTCTGTTTTATTTCTTAAAATATATTTTATTGATTATGCTATTATAGTTGTCCCAGTTTTCCCCCCTTTGTGGCCCTCCATCCTTACACACCTTCACTCCAGTGGGGCCTTAGTCCCACTAAGTTCATGTCCATGGGTTGTGCATATAAGTCCTTTGGCTTCTCCATCTCCTGTAATTTTCTTGACATGCCCCTGTCTATTTTGTACCTACCAATTATGCTTTTTAATCTCTCTACCTTTTCCTTCCAATCTCTCCTCCCTCTTTCAGCTGATAGCCCATTCCTGTTCTGGTTATTTGCTTAGTTTGTTTTTGTAGATTCGAGTTGTTGATAGTTGTGCATTTTTTGCCATTTTACTATTCATAGTTTTGATCTTCTTTTTCTTAAATAAGTCCCTTAATGTTTCATTTAATAATAAGGGCTTGGTAATGATGAACTTCTTTAGCTTTATCTTGTCTGGGAAGCACTTTATCTTCCCTTCCATTCTAAACGATAGCCTTGCTGGATAGAGCAATCTAGGTTGTAGGTCCTTGCTTTTCATCACTCTGAATATTTATTGCCAGCCACTTCTTGACTGCAAAGTTTCTTTTGAGAAATCAGCTTACAGTCTTATGGGAACTCCTTTGTAGGCAACTCTCTGCTTTTCTCTTGCTGCTTTTAAGGTTCTCTCTTTGGCTCTCTCTTTATCTTTAACCTTTGGCATTTTAATTATGATGTGTGTTGGTGTGGTCCTTTTTGGGTCCAACTTGTTTGGGTCTCTCTATGCTTCCCAGACTTTTATGTCTATTTCCTTCACCAAATTAGGGAAGTTTTCTTTCACTCTGTCAAATAAGTTTTCAATTTCTCACTCTTCCTCTTTTCCTGGCACCTGTATGATTCAGATGTTTATATGTATAAAATTGTCCCAGGGGCTCCTAAGCCTATTCTTGTTTATTTGAATTATTTTTTCTTTCTGCTGTTCTGATTGAATACTTTTTCCTTTCTTTTTTTCCAAATTGTTGATTTTATTCTCAGCTTCAGCCTCTCCACTGTTGGTTCCCTGTAGATTTTTCTTTATTTCACTTAGCATAATCTTCATTTCTTTCCTTATGTTATTGCCTTACTCAATGAATTCTTTGAGCCTCCTGATCTCCAGTGTTTTGAACTCTTCATCTGATAGGCTGGTTATCTCCATTTCATTTAATTCTTTTTTTTTTTGACATTTTTTTTATTGTTGTTTAAGTATAGTTGTCTCCATTTCCCCCTCACCATTCTCCCACCCCACCTGCGCCATCCCCACTTCCCACCCTTAATCCTACCCCCCTGTGGTTTTGTCCACGTGTCCTTTATTGATATTCCTTTCTGAGGTTTTGTTCTGTTCTTTCATTTGGGTCATATTTCTTCATCTTCTCAATTTGACAGCCTCCCTGTATTTGTTTCTGTGTATTAGATGGAGCTGCTTTGACTCCCTGTCTTAGAAAAGGCACCTATAAACAAATCGTGTGGGGTGGAGCCTTAGGTAATTGCCAGAGTGGGGTAACCCATTGCACTGTTTTGTGGCTCTATGTAGGGGGAGAGCTTGGAGAGAGGACAGTACCACTGCCTGGCTTCTGGAAGTTTGCCCAGTACTCATCACATTTCCAGGCTCTTCACCCACTTCCTGTATGCGACTGGCACTCTTCCAGCTGTTGCCCTGCTGATGAATCCCAGAGTGGGTGGGTTTGCCTATATTCTAAGTTTGTGAAGGCCCTAGAAATGGACTCTCCTAAAAATCTGGCAGTTTTTTCCACAGCCCAACACCCGCTGGTTTTTACAGTCTGAAGTTACGGGGGTCTGTCTTCCTGGTGCTGGAACCCTGGGCTGTGAGGTCTTGCCTGAGGCTGGGATCACTTGCTCCCAAGATATCTCTCCTGATTTTTATGCAAATGTGGGATGACCGGTTTGCTGCCTTCACCCGTATCTGCAACTCTGCCCCATCTACCTGTCTGGATGAATATGGCTTCTTTAAATCCTTGGTTGTATGGCTTCCATACAGCTTGATTTTCAGACAGTTCTGGTTGTTTGTTTTGAGATATAGTTATAATTCTCTCTGTGGTTGTATGAGGAAGAGAAGTGTGTCTACCTACAATTCCACCTTGACCAGAAATCAAATGATGGATTTCTCATCCTTTGTGTCTGTTTTGTCTTTGCCCAGTTCCAGTAGTGGCCTGTGTGCTGAGAGTAACCCACAGGCAGACCTTCTGGGCTTGCTGTGCTCAGATGAGTGGCTTCAGAGGCCTTTCCATCCGGAGATACAGTCAGTGAGGCCAGGTCATGAGAGGAGCACGTTAAGCAAGGCAAACAGTGATGGGGACTGAAAAAGGGGTATTAAGTTCAATTTTAAAATTCACTAAGGGTCACTGCCACAATAAACATTTGTAACCGAAGGTGTGACTTTCTGCTTTTCTGTGTTGCTATCTTCTGTACCAGTTGTGTTATGAAATATGAGCACATCAACTCTAAAACAGAAGAGCATCCTGTTCAATCAAGCAAAATCAAATGACATGAAAAATTCTCACCTCTGCAGGGTGGACAATTGTCCTCCAACTATCAGGTCCATGTTTCAAGGATCCCTTTGGTTAAGGATTAATTATATCCTCTGAGAAGAAATATCAAAAGCCCAACAGGATTAGCCTGGAATCACAGGCAGAAATGCATGGATTTGAGGATCACAAAAATAGCAGATTGAAAGACCCATTATTTGCTCTCAAGTTACCCTCTTGAAAAGAGCACCCTTGCCATAAAAGTGCATATTAGTGCGCACAAAAGAAATAATAGTGTTTCTTTTGTAAATTCCTGCAGTGTCTTCCAGAAATATGCTGCTAATATGACTTTGAGCATTCAAGGAAATAGGGAATTAGGCTTTGCAACAGGACTGTATTTTGTAAGAGCACATTATACTTATGAACCTAACAAGACCTGTCTCGGTTTCTTCATGAGTCCTTAAAAACTGCCATTTTGAATCCAAACTCTTGCACTCAGTAAATATAATTCACAAAATTATATAAAATGTGATTTTTCATCACTAAAAATTGTTGGGCCATAATAAGAAGGTACTGAGTGAGTCAATGACTAGCTACTTTCCCTCCTGCTTAATACTAAATTAAGTAGCCATGCCCTAGCCAGTGTAGCTCAGTTAGTTGGAATGTTGTCTCATGGCTGAAAGGATACAGGTTCAATTCCTGGTCATGGCACATACCTAGGTTGTGAGTTTGATTCCTGGTCTAGGCACATATGGTATACAACCAATCAGTACTTCTCAATATTTCTTCGTTGTTTCATTATCTTCAATGTTTCTTTCTCTGCCTTCCTCTTTCTTCTTCTCTCTCTAAAAACAATGAAAAAAATGTCCTCAGGTGAGAATTAAAAATGAAATAAAGTAACCAAAAAGAATGAGTTCATCCTCATTATCCATAAGCAGAAAGAAATTAAGAACTCAGCATACCTACATTAAAAGATGTTATGAGGTAGAGATATGAGAGTGTCTTTTTTCTCCTGACATTATTTTGCCAAAGCATTTTTTAAGTATTTTGTAAAAATTAAATTTTGTTTTTTGCATGGCCAGAAATTATACTAAAATAGTTAAAGGTAGATTTTTAAAAGAAAATATCACTTTGAAGAAGAAAATATTCCAGTATGTACTTCTGCATATAAGTATCAGTGAGGAGACTAACATTCTACAGCACTGCTTGCTAATTGAGGCCCTAGGAACATCATATTAGGTTGGTCTAAATGAAAGACTCGATAGCAAAGTTTTAAATGTCACATTAAAACATCACATCTTTTAAAAATTAATGTAGGATGTGCAAAATGAACCCAAAACCAAGAAATAACTGTTTGGCATTCAGTAGTACTTAAAAGGATAACAAAAAGAAAACAGTTTAGGCAATTATTCCAATATTTTATACCCTATATCCACTTATTAAGGGGAAAATTAACAGATATAACTCAATGTATTAAGTGTATAAATCCATACATAACCATATTTTAATCTTCTATATTTCCTTAAAGCTAATTGTAGAGCTCAGCTCTGTGACTATTAGACTTTAGGAGTTGCTAGTGAAAAATGCACTCACAAGTCCTCTTGTCACAAAAAGTCATGCTCTGTAGATACCTATGTAGATTGTAATCTGACAAATTCTATGAGCAAAAAAAAATAGGGCAAGTGTTGGCAATGATGTTATTGATGAACAATATATGTATTGTTCTGTGGTTCTGAAAGATGAGTGTGTGGGGATATGGGGTAATACATTTCTCAAGCAAAGTTCATCTCCAAACCATTTTTGAGAACTGGCTTAGTTTACTGTTTCACAATTTTTCTGCATACAAGAATCATATGGTACTCTTGTTAAAAATACAGAGGAAAGGGAACCCTAGTGCACTGTTGGTGGGAATGCAGACTGGTGCAGCCACTGTGGAAAACAGTATGGGAATTCCTGAAAAAATTAAAAATAGTACTGTTTTTTGACTCAGTGATACCACTTCTGGGGATATATCCTAAGAGTACCAAACAGCTTAAGGGTGCATCAGTAGACAAGTGGATAGAAAAGTTGTGGTATATTTACACAATGGAATACTACACAACAGTAAAAATGAAGAGGCTTACTTTTTGCAACAACATGGATGGGCCTGAAGATTATTATATTAAGTGAAATAAACCAGTCAGTGAAAAAAAAATACCACGATCTCACTTTTATGTGGACTCTAATGGACACAAACTAATGAGCAAAATAGAACCACAGGCATGAAGCAGACTGACAGCTGTAAGACCGGAGGGGAAGGTGGGGTCTGGCTGAAAGAAGGTGAAGGGATTAGCCAAAGAACATATATACATTACCCATGGGCAAGGACAATGGTGTGGAGATTGCCTGAGGGAGAGAGAAGAGGATTGGGGGAGGGGGACAAAAGGAAAAAATTGGGACAACTGTAATAGCATAAACAATAAAATACAATTTAAGTTAAAAAATATAAATTCTTAATGATGTTTCCCTGGCCCAGTTCTGATCCAGTGGGGCTGGAGTGATACCATCATTTGTGTTTTTAATAAAACCTCAGGTAAGCCTCAATAACAGGGCTTAGAATTTAGGAAATCCTGTCTTAATCGTTCTAATTGTTCACCCTTGCACTTGACCAATATGCTCGAAAACTAATCATAAAACTAATCAATACTGCATAAAGCAAACTACCTTCATCCAAGTAAGCAAGATATGAGCAGACCTCACATTCCATCAGTGGGCAGCAGCCAAAAACATAGAATAGTTAATTTGTGTCATTTTACTCTTTCATATGATCATCATTATTACTTTGTTAGTGATCATGCTAGTTAAAAATTGATTACTAAAAGGCACAGCATGATTTCATACTGTTATTATTAGCCATGGCCCTGTTCTCTTTTACCAAAAAGAATTAAAGAAATACATTTGTTGTCATCTCTCCAGTCTTTATCTTATTTACTCAAATATTCTTCAAAACAACATTTTAATAATTTGTAACATGCATCAATGCTACTTATGTTATTAAGATTTGCTGTACAACATGCCTCAATTGTCATATTGGGAGATTTTGATGCTTCTGTATATCTAATTTAATGAAACAGCCTATAAATCAAAAAAATCAGAAAACAATGTTCTATAAATTTAAACCTGTTTTAAATAAAAGTAATGCCCAGTACAAGTAATTTTTCTTTTCTATGATTATTAGAAGTATTTTATATTCAGTTCACTAAAGATTTTGGGTGGCCCCATTACATTATCATAAAGGAGCCAATTTTCCAAATTGTTCCTTTCATCCTCAAATACATGAAGCTACACTTCCTTCAGAGGTTGAACTCAAAAGCTCTGCCCTCATTAGAGGACATTAGAAAACCCTGTCTTAAGATGGCTGCATCTAGCTCTCAAGTTGCTCTAAGTTCTTCCTTGGGTCAATGAGCAAGACCACAAAAAGGCTACATGGTTGAACTGAATGAACTTTGCCCTTCATTTGGTTATCTGTTAATAAGACTTTTGCTTTTCTCAAAGGATCAAACAAAAAAAACAAGACATTACAATTTTTCCTTCGGGATATGTTTTTGAAAACATGACCTGTCCATACCATGAAATGCCCTGTATATAAGTCCTCACATAAGAAATCCCTTTTAAAAATTATTATTGAGGATAGCTGCTTTACCTATATAATTGGTATACTTTTTCCATATAGATACTGAAAAAGTATATAACTGAACATATTCCTATTTTTAATCACCAATCATGAATCTTAAATCCAAATTTGAAGCTCAAATTTGATGTTCAAATGAACTTAACGAGTTAGTCCTAATGGTACACAAAGGCATATCCAATATGTAAACCCACACAGATACACCCACCCACACACATATATTGCCTTTGGATTCCCTTTCTATTTTCTCTTACATACTAAAAAAATATTTATTCTTTTCTTCTATTTATTATTCTTAAGATTTTAAAATAATTCATTTCAACTATTTTGCAGGACAAAGGATTATTTTCTACTTCTATTCTACTTTTATTGGTATTAGTACTAACTAGGAATGATTTATTAAGTGTTTACATTTGTATTCAATCAGCAGGTGAGATACTTGTAATCATTTCTGTATGACAGATGAAGTGATGGAAATTTAGAGGGGTTACATAACTGATCCACAGTGTCACTGCTAGCAAATGTCAGATGAAGATTTTAAAGGTTAGTCCTAGGTCTTATTTTAATCTCATGCACTAACTACTGTGGTATGTTGTAAATTTCAAACATTTGTGATATTTCAAAAAAACAGTAAATCCTATCAATTTTTACTGTGATTATTTGAAATCATAAAAGAGCAATTGTTATACACAGCAGTCTGCATGTTTCATTTTTAATCAGTGATATTTGTCTCTTACAAATACAGCTTAATATTCACTCCACTAGTTAAAGGCCATGCCTTCTTCTACACTTTTATGTTATACCCTAATAGTTCAGAAGCTCAGTTCACTGTTGTGAGAAAGGAAATTGCCAAAAAGTTAACTAAAAAAAACAAAATAAGAAACAACTACCAATTAAACAAACAACAAAAATTATTCTCATGTTACATAACCATTCTAGACTAAAATGCAGTATTCCTGGTCTACTTCACTTTTGGGTTACCTCCTCACTAACCAACTCATACTGTGTTAGACCCAAGATTAGATGGCTGAAAGAGATGTGACAAGGTACCTATCGTTAGTGTGCCTTACCTGATTCCCTTCAGATCTAAACACCTAATTCTAAACTGCATGTTCCAGAAATGTATTCTATTATATCTCCATCAACATAAAGTTAGTTCCTTTGCAATACTCTCATTTAAAAATATTAATCTGAGAACAGCAAGTAGAAGGTGACCATCTATATTTCCTGTGAGTGGCTTTAAGCATAAACTAGACTGTGGATTCTTGGCATGCTTCCATGAAGACAGGTGGTCCTCCACATTTTTATTCAGGGCTCATATTTCTAAGTCCTGAGAAAGCACAGTGATAAATGACATAAAATGCATGGTTAGATATTCAAGGAATTAGTTTAAGTCAAGTATTCATTGATTCTATTTCTGACATTTGGTTTCTGGAGTTAGAAACTGAATTTTCAGATGCCCTAGTCTATCAAGTCATGCCATGTTAGACTGCAAAGATTTGTATGGAATTTTCTCTAGTTTCCATAGGGAAGTGAATGCTGTTCTTATAAATATAAACCATAAAGACTTGCAATTTATACCAGTTTTCTCAAGCTATTTATTAGCAAAAGTGAAAGAACAGAAACCAGTTTTAATGCTTGCATTATAAGTCTGTCCCAGAAAAGTCATTGTTAATGTAACAGGAACAGTCTTTGAACGACGTCGATGTAACCTGGCAGCCAAGGAGAGTGGACTGGAATGCACATGCATGAACAATGACAATTTCAATGACAATTTCACCCCCACTAGTCAGTGGGGGTGGTAGGCACTGTTGTGTGAGCATGTGTACTGTGTGGCTACCACATTCAAAATGACTGAGGGAGTAGAGCAATAAATCTTCATCAAATTTTGCATTAAGCTTGAACATTCCTCCGAGGAAACCATGAGGGTGATTCAGAAGGCTGCAGCTATGGGCAACTGGTGATTGGCAGTTTCATCATGACAACACGCTTGCTCATGCATCATGTCTTGTGCACAGTCTTTTGGTAAAACATCAAATCACTCAGGTGGCTCAGCCCTGCTACAGCTGAGATTTGGTGCCCTGTGACCTTTGGCCTTTCCAAAATCTAAAATTACCTTTGAAAGGGAAGAGATTTCAGATCATCAGTGAGATTCAGGAAAATATGATGGGGCAG